AAGAAAACATGGCCTCTTTCTTATCATAATCCTGTAAAAATATTAAAAAAATTAATATAACTTGTATTATATAAATTATAAAAAAAAAGATAATAAAAATGAAATACATTAAATGAAAAATAAAAAATAAAAAATTAAAATATAAGAAACTTACTGCAAAAAGATCGAATTTGTGCTTGTAATGTGCAGATGACATGTTCAAAGTATATGAATTTGAACTCAATTCTAAGGACGGTTTATGTGAGATGCGTGCTTCTGAAACGTATTCTTTAAAAAGCATCTCTAACTTAAATCTTACATCACATATTTTTAAAATGGCATATGTTTCATCCTCAAATAATTTTTCATAACAATAATTGAGAAAAGACAACTTACAACGAGGATCAAAAATCACCGCAAAGGTAAACAGCGTGCCGTAGTCATCCTCACTCGAGTTGAACCAATACTTATCAAGCCTTATCTTCATTTCTATTGCCATTATTTTTCAAAACTACATCATTACTTCTTGTGAGCTTTCTTAAAAGCATAAATAATTTCCAAACACTCCCAAACTATAAATTCACAGTAGGATAATTATTTCCTAAAAATAACTCAGTTATATCAAAGAATGGTTCTAAAACATCACAAATTTTTTCAAGCATTTCCCATTCTTCAGTGTTTGTACAGTGACGTAAAGAAGAATCAACAACAACCATTTTCTTTAAAGCTTCATGATATAAAATAGTGATATCAAGCATCATGTAAGTAGAATTCCATCTTGTAGGAACATCAAGCCACAATACCTTAGTTTCTTCTATCTTGGTTAATTTCACACTACGTCGAAAAGCATTTTTTCTTGTTTCTAACCATTTGATATACTTCACACATTCTCTTATCTTGAAAACAATATGTTCAATGACCTTAAGACTATCCTTAAAACTGAGATTCAACACATGTGTAGCATATCGAACATGAAAGTAAGCCCTACACATAATAAAGTCCCTCGAACATTAAAAGTTTCCTTCAAATGATCTTGCATTTTATCATTACTAGAAGCGTTATCCAGTCTAATGGAAAAAATCTTATAGTCAATACTCCAATCCTGAAGTAGAAAAATACTATACATAGTACTTCCAGTATGCGGTGAGTCAATATGAAAATTGTTTAAAAGTTTACTATTTAACTTTCAAGTAACATCCACATAATGAGCGGTTAAACATAAGTATTCCTCAGTTTGACAAGATGTCCACATATCACACGTCAAAGAAATACGATCGGAGATATTATGAAGAGTTTCCCTTAAGTTATCTTTCAAATTTTTATGCAACTTCAAGTAATCCATTTTTGCAGTGTTTCTACATATGCTTATAACTTGATTGTTCAAATATGCATGAATTTTTCTATTACCTTCATGTTCAACCCAAGAAAAATCATATCCATGCTTTATAGTTGCTTTAGCTACCAACTCCCTATAGATTTTTTTGTCATAAACATTACCTTCTAGTCCCTCTATTCTCAAACTATTATATTGTTTACATTTTTCAATGAGTTTTTGCATATCTGAGGTTCCATAATGTGAGTCACAAATAAAGAAAGCAGTCTTACAATGTTTGCAAAGTGTCCTATCTTTTCCATCTGTAGTCTCTGTGGAATTAATAACGAGAAAATGTTTCCAAACCTTGTCTCTTAGAAAAAAAGATTGTGATTCTGCTACAACATTATTGGTATCACTTGTAACCTCACATGCATTAACATTAGATTCCATGACTGCAAAAGCAAAGAAAAATATTATTAGTATTAAGTTGAACCTTACATGCATGTCAAAGACACATAATGAATCACACAAATATATTAATAAACATGTAATAAATACACACATAATTCTATTAATAATATAGAACCAAAAAAAATCTGAACAGAAAATTTTTAAATAAATAATGTACTACGATATAGAAATATACATAGAGTCGCGTAGAATAAGTCTTTTTTTCAAATAAGAATTTTTCTCGACTGACGAATAAGATATTCGAATTAGCATGAGCGTGATATACAATAAGATAAAAGGTATTGATGTTACCACTTTAGTTACTAAAAAACTATTGCACTTCAATTTTTTAATAATAATTATAGTAGAAAATAATATTAATTTTAGAATAATAATAACGATTGTAACAAATTTTAGTAATGAATTAATAGTGATAATTGTAAATAATAATGGAAATAATAAAGTGATATGATATTAAAATAACTAACTAAAGAAATTAAATTAAAGTGAATCTTGAAGAAAAAAAAGTGAAATATGATGTATTTAGAAATCGTAAGTTATCAGTTACGACAACAAGCAATACTAGGGTAAGGTGCTCGCGCAACAAGGTATAAGGAATTGGGCACTGGATGAAGAGGCGCCTGCGTGTGAGAGTTGAAGTAGAAATTGAGACGCCTGCGTACGACAGTTGGAGCTGAAAGGAGTTGAGTGACGATTGAAACTAACAAGATTGAGCGATGACAGAGGAAATTATTGAAATTTGAATTTCTTGAGTTAAAGAATAACATCATACTTATATATATAGTATTTTTAAATAATATATAAAAGAAATTCTATATAAATAAAATTATACTTTAACCAAAATAGTGAGGTCATTTTTGATTTCGAATATATATAAAAAGTTTATTTAATTTAAATGATAAAATTTATTTTGAATAATAAATTAATTTAAATAAAATTGATAATTTATTAAAATATTAGATTTATAATAAAAGAAAGAAAGTTTTTGGAAAACCTAAAAGCAAGAATCTGATTGTAAGATTGAAAACGGTAATAAATAAAGTTTACTTATCTTACTTGTAATAAAAATATTAAATTTATAGTAAAAATAATAGAAAACGGATAAAACAAAGGAGATAATATTAGATTCATAATAAAAATAATATAAAGTTTACTTATGTTACGACTAAAACTTAACAAATTAAGTTATTTATTATTTTTTAAAATGTAATAAAAATATTAAATTTATAATTGGTAATAAAAAATTTTAATAAAAAATTATTTATTTATCAAATAGTTCTCGTTATAAACTTTTCATACTAGATTAATATAAAAATTTGATAACAAATTCTAAAACATATAAAATTTTGATAACAAATTCTAACATGTATTATAAGATCGTATTTATATCAAATTATCGATTTATGATCTCTAAATGATGGTTTAATTCAAAATATTGAACGATTGAGAATTGAAATTAAGCCTAAATGATATGATTAACAAACAATAAGAGATATTTTTACAATAGTATATCAATAATTCTATATATACTTGATTTTTTATTACACTCATAACCAATTAAACCTGAATTGACATGACCTAAAGGTTGACCTAAACCAAAAAATCAACTGATCTGATATTGACCAAACCTGAAATCTAACTGATCTAGTATTAACCCGACCCAAAAATCAACCGATCTGATAATGACCCGACCCGATATTGACCCGATCTAAAAAACCAATTGATCCAATATTTATTCGAACCGAAAATATACCGATCCGATAATCACCGGACCCAAAAATTGATCCGACCCGATACCCAGCCCGATCTGATTTATCGTACACCTGAACTAGATCTGAACAAAATTAAATCGAATTTAATATAGACCCAAAATTATCCGACCCGAAATGACACAACTCAAACCCGATCCGAATTACTCGTTTGCCACCTCTAGACAAAAAGATCTCAAATTAAGAGCAAAGTTCTCCACCCTAAATATAAATTGTTCAAGAAAAAAAATCATATTGAATGGATAACATGTGAGATTAAAGTTAATATTTAGATTTCTAGAGTTTAAGATTCATGAATTAAAAAATATGATTTATGATTTAAGGTTTTTAAATATTATAAATAAAATTAAAATATTTGCATTGACGATGTATTAAATATTAACCTTATATTAGAGCAAGGTCCAATATTCATAAGCCGCTTTCTGTTTCTTTTCAATTTTAATCTAGTAGATGACGACATTAATCTTAGTATTGGTTGTGGACCGTCAGCGATTATTAGTTCTCTTATTTTTTTCATATTGTTATTTGTTTCCCTTTTTTCTTGAATTTTTTCACTTTTAAATAAGAGTCTTTATTCTTGTGACATTTTTCTCTGTTCTTGTGACGATTTTTTATATGTTTTTTCGCATATCATTGTGGTGGTTTTGGTGTTTGCACAAATACTCTCACGATATTTATTTTCTGATTAGTTTGACGATAATCAATTATAATTAAATCTTATCTTCGTAAAGAGTCGCTCGACAGAGACAATAAAATTTTATGAAAGTTAATGGATTCTATTAATGTTGGTTGACATTCTTAACATAATCTTTATTTCGCTTCGTATATTTGAGTTTTATATTTTGTTTCGGTATGTGTTTTTCTATAACTACGGTCCTCATTTTTTTCTCTCTGTTTGGATGCGTTATAATTCTGATTTTTCCTTTTATTTTGATTAATGAAATTCAGTTATCATAAAAAGTATTAGTCCTATAAATAATATAATTTGAGAGATTTTAAATGCAATTGATGGTTTTGGGGGAGAGGAAATGATTCTTAGACCATGCCCATGATTCTGTTGCCTGCATGAGTAGAACTCTGAGACCGGCCAACCCACCATCCATCTCCTTTTTATCTATGATTACTGCTGCTGTTAACATACTAGGTTTCTTAATTATATAGATATACAACTTTTTTATTACGTTACAATTACACTAAACGAATAGACAACTCTTTTGAATTTGTTCTTATGCATTGAAGCATTTGACCCCATTATTTGATTGATTAATGCACAATTAACACGTAAGTGTACTCAGAGAAATTAAACCCGGCAAACCAAGATTCCTTTTTAATGAATATGAATAACCATACGAAATTTTCAAAATTATTATATTTTAGATTTTTTTAGTGTATTTTCTATTGATAATATGTTTTCTCTCCTTTTAGAATTTTATAAGTTATGTTCCTTCTAAAATTTATAAACTCGCCTCCTCTAAACATAAAATCACGAGTCTGTCTCTAAGCAATTGCATACAGCCCAGGGATGCCAATGTTAGAAGCTCCTCATGCCAGAATCTTCAATGGCTCCTTTTCTTCGAAAATGGTACATTTGGAGTCACCAGCCTCAATTTGATGGCCTCAGTTGATGTAAAATGTCAAGCTGCTACAACCAAAAACTGGATTACCAACTGAACAAATTTTCATGTGATAGTGATACCGCAAACAAGCTTCAATAATTATCAACCATGAGCAATTACAAAAGTAATGAACTATGAACTAATCAAATAAAATTCCCCAAAACTACATGTGAAGAAATAAAATTACCAGATATTCGTCTGCTACCCTCATGCTCACTGGTTTCATCCCTTGCATCTCTAAACTCTCTTCTCTGATCCACACAATCCCGTTCATTGCCGTTGTGTTCGGAAATTCTAGCATCTCCTATCGTTTGTGCTAGTGGTCGTACGCCTTGCGTTTCTCCAAAACTTTGGGAGACTGGTTGAACAGCTAATTCATAACTATTTGCAGCTCGAGTAATAGGCAATTTATCGGGAGCTTTAGGCGAAGCAATGACGGAAAGACGGCAAAGCGGACAGGTTGCGTGGTTGGCAAGCCAATGGTCAATGCAGTCCATGTGAAACGTATGGCCACATGCGGGTATCTGCTGAAGTTTATCCTCTTCCTGATAGTCCCCAAGGCATACTGAGCATCTGTGATAACAAAGATGATACTGTATCAGAAAGAGGAAAACTTTGAAACTAAAATCCTCCATTTTCTCATTTAGAGTCTCTGAATTTCTATGGCACTGGCATCAACACTTGCTTTTGTGCATACTGTTTACCTAATCAATTATCAATTGAAAATCAAGAAAATATGACCAAATTAGCTCCAAGATTATAGTTTCTTGAAAGAGCGCAAGGCTCTTAACCTTGTGGTCGTGGGATCGAGTCTCACAATGGGTAATTCATAATTATGACTGCCGAAGGTCTCCCACGGAAGCTGCTCTCAACCTGGCGTTGGGGGCAGCCTACTATCCTACCTTCCCCTTACCCTATTACATATGGGAATAGGGTCAGCTAATTTTTTTTATTATAGTTTCTTGAAAATGAATATGCTTGCTGAGTAGCAGCATGTGTGTACCAATTCAATTGTTAATCTCTAATCAATCAGTTGTATAACTTGCATTTTCAATTTCCCAACAACAAAAAAACCTTGTAACCTTTTTCACGTTAGATATGAGCATCACAGATCAAAACCTATGTTACACTAATAGAGACATGGGCACAAATATGTGTACAATAATTTTCAAATTTAGATGGTAGAGACACGACAAGTGTACACTAAATATAAATAAATTTTAAAATTCATGATTATTACAAAATTGTATATCACACCCGTATCCGATTTTCTGTTTACACTATCTTCGTTGAAACATGCCTATTTTAAGTTTCTCACATCCAATTGAAGTATTTCACGATGCGTTAGAAGGTAATTAAAAGATGGTTCATATGTAAAAATACATCTTAAACCAAAAATATTAGGTCTAAAATTTTATTGTAAGTCAACTGATATCCAATGCTTCAAAATCAACTTCAATTTCTTATTCAAAATCATCTATTTTTAATTATTATTTCAAGTTACATCTAAAAATAACCATTGATGCGGAACGTGTTTCTAATATGTACGAAAGCTATGCCCGTCCTGTACGTATTTCGGAGATATTATTTTTTAATTAAGATAAAGATAATTATAGAGTAATATTAATTTTCTTAAATATTCTCAATAATTTGACAATAAATACTTAATACCCTGTTGTTATTAGTGCTCGAACATGTGAACTCTAGGAACAATGGTTCCTTAAACCACTTAGGTAAGTTAGTTCGCACCTCGGATACATATTAGATACTTGAAACACCACCGGGTCACCGTTACGTGCAACATAGAATAAAACTAGAGGACACCATGAAACTGTTCATCAGGAGAAAAAAATGGTTGTTCCTTGTTTCCATATGTAATAGGATAAGGGGAGGTAAGATAGTAGGCTGCCCCCAACACTAGGTTGAGAGCAGTTTCCGTCCGAATTATAAAATGTCCTCCATGTGAACTCGATCCCTTGTTCATCAAGAGAAGTTTCCCCTTAATAGTTTTCATTTAAAAATCACTGGTTATCTATAGAAGGAAAAAGAGTTGAAAAGAAGGGTAACTCACTGAGTATCTCGGATAGAGAAGGCCTCCTTGTATATAATGATGGGAAGCATCTCTCTTACTTCTTTCTTGAGCCCCAATTCAGCCTGTAAAAACCACCATTAACAAATGCTATTAACTCGAAAAAAAAACACTTCAAAAAAAAGAAGAGTAAAACCATGGCCATGGATATGTCAGAGTCAAGGCCTGGGGATGTTCTCATTCTAAGAGATGACCAATCTGCACGCTGGCTTCGAAGATAGAACAAATAGAACATGAAAAGCAGAATGAATGCAAAGAAAATGGGGACCGAAAATATAAAAGCTTGATACAGCTTAAGCTCTGCTGAAACACTGGAAGAAGAAGATGGTGATGATGATAGAGATGGAGACATGATCAGAAGACTTCCCACTTTTTGACTCAACTGAAAACACCCAAAGCAAAGACAAGTAGCAGCTGCTTGATTTGTTTCATGGGGATCAAAATGGAAGGTTTTTTTCTTGGGAAATAAAAAAATTGTTGTTGTAGGCAGAAGAAAGAGTGTGAATCAGATATTTAGAGAAACGGCAAAAAGAAAAAGATTATCTCAGAGTTTTTGGAGCCTTATATTTGGCTGCATCAAATTGCTAAAAAAAATCTATAAAAAAAACAAAAACCAAAAACAAAAAAAAAAGTAAAAATACCCAAAAACGTTGAAGTAAATATATTTAAAAATCTCCAAACATATTGTGGGTTTCTTGGTACACTTGAATGTGACTTTATGATTGGCAATAAATTTCTTTGTATCAAAAACAAAAATCTCCACACATCTCTATTTTAAGAAAAGTGTAATTTTCAATTTTTTTAATTCTTTATCTTTATCTTTATTTTTAAATTTTTTTATTAATATGTGGTAAGTGCAATACAGTATCTATTCAAATATAATTAACTTTCAACTGTTAGGTATTGAACGCTCATACATCTAATATTTTTTATGTTCAAACTCAAGACTTTAAAGAATAACAACAATTATTTCACCACTGATCACGTTTGATTCAACTTGAATAAGACCTAAAATCAACTTAACCCAAGGCCCAAATGCAAACTTAAGTCTCAAGAAAGCCCAAATTAAAAACCCATAAATCAAGCCCCTAAACTAATTTGTCGAGACCCATTAATTCTACTAGCCCAAACTTGGGTCGATCCAGACTTGTCTAAACCTGAGTACAACCTGAAACCTAATTCGACCCAATTGTTAATAGCAGGGGTGTTCACTTCTCAATTTTAATCGTATTAATTGATCAAAACAAATTAGTTTGATTAAACGATCGGCTATCAAAATTAGTTTAGTCGGACAATGATTAACTTTTTTTCAATATTCAGTTAGCGGTTAATTTATTTCGAAATCGATCAATTTTAATAATATAATATTATAGTTTACGATGTTTGGATGATGTTGCGTAATTCATTTTTCAATGGTTGGTAAATTTAAAAAAAATCTTCATTATAAACCAAAAAAAAATAAATAGTATTATTTATTAATAAAATAATATTATTATTTTTCAAATATTAGAATAATTTATTTAATATTATTTATTTCAAAATTATTAATAAAATATTATATATGCAATTTTAAAAATATTAAAATTATTATATTTTAAGGAGGATATTTTAAATATTCAACAATTCAATAATATTATTTTTATGAAATTAATAAATAATATTAAATTTTATTAAGAATTTGTTAGATATTATTAAAATAAAATTATAATATTCTATATTATAATAATATAATTCGAAAAATAAAAATATTATATTATTATATTATTAAAATTATCAATAAATATAACTTAATAATTAATATTTTTATTAAAATGATATTAAAATAATATATTCATATTAAATATATAAAATAATAATACTTTGAATGTTTATATTTTGAAGTGAAAAGTTCGTAAAATGACCTATGAAAAATTAGATTGTAATTTCATTTCTAGAAAATACAAAGGAAATTCAGTTGAACAGGAAAATGAATTACATTTACAATATGTTTTTTGCCAACCAAACACTAGAAAATGAGGAAAACATCTTTCAGAAAACCAATTACAGGGAAACAAACATATCATATTATGTAACACCCCAAATTCCATGCTAGTAGTTTTGGGTTTACCCGAAAGTTAAGTGGACCTCGTGGAATTAATAATTTAATTCGTTGTGCTTAATGGAGTTGGAATGGAGTCCAATTAGCCATTAAAAGGAGATTTTTAAATTTCAGAAAGATGAGTAATGACATATACTACAATTTTCCCATTTTAGAAAGGTGGAAACTTTTTACCTCTTTCGTCTTCATCTTCTCTTCATTTCATTTCATCTCTCATTTTCCTCCTCAATATCCATAGCACAAAGGTAAGATCTTGAGCTCTTTTTATGTTTTAAATTCGTCCATAATCCCTCCATTAAACTCATATTAATGTTTCAAAGTCTTAGGTTCTCTCTAGCTAAATAAAAGTGGGGTTTTTCATCCAAATCACCCAAAAAGGGAGTGTGGCTAAGTAAGGAGATTCATTTCGGTATTTTTTAATCAAGGTAGTGTGTTTTTTATTCTTTTTCATGTTAAGGTTTTCTTGAACATGATGTTTTGTTAGGATTTGAGTATTTGAGCTTTTAGGTTTTCAAACTTGATTTAAGTTATAGATGATGCATTTGGTGTAAAACATGTGTTTTTATGAAACTTTAGTTATGACTCTAAGTAACTCACTAAAGTTTCATAATATGATTAGAAACCAAACTATGGCCTTTAGAGTATTTTAGGTGTTTTCCCGAGCCTAAATAAACTATTTATGGGTTTGAGTATCGATATATGGACGAACAGTATCGATACTGGATGAATTGGGGCAAAAATTAAGGATTTTAGAGGGGAGTGTCAATATTGTTGGGGAAAGTATCAATATTGCCCCTACAATATCGATACTGAGGGTGTTTGGTATCAATACTAGACATTTTTTAGGATATCGAAGCTAATTTTGGTACCGATACTCATAGTGGTTTCGATAGTTGACCCTAGGGTATCGATACTACTCACTTTGGATTGTTAGATTTGACATATTTAAGGCCCATAAGAGCTAAGGATGATCTTTAATGGTATAATGTAGTCTGTGAGGCATGTAAATGGCCAAAGGACCTGAGAACACTCGTAGGAGTGAGTTACAACCAGAATAACCATGGTAGGCGTAATACACCTGAGTTCTTTTGGTCGAGCACGTAACAAGTATCTAAGATCAAAGTATCATTACAGAGGAGCTACCGGTGAGCGGTATGAGGAGATAATCATATTACAAAATAGCAGAGTTACGTACTACAAGGATATCAACAAATAATAGTGTACAGTTGTCCCTCCAATTCGAATCTGAATTGAGGGGAAAACATAGCATGAGAGATTAGAGAGTTGTTACCCAATAATGAACTCGAGTCAGATATTGAGCCAACTAGTGTTATAGATAATGAACCACCAACATGATAATCATCACAAATTCACGAAACGTGCAGAGACTTCTCTGAAAACAAAATTTATTAAAATGTCTTTAAGCAACAAACAACCATAATATTGCAGCTTAATAAATAACAACATCAACAGACTAATAAGCCTTCGTATAACATTTTAGATGAGAGAAATAGCGAGATAATAGTTAATGAGATGATAATCTCACTTTATTGTGTCTAGCTAAGCTTGGGATGTAAGTTGCCAATACATGTAAAATTTTGGTTCTTACCCCGAGACTCTTGAGTATTCAAGGTAGGATAGTGTGTTGCCCTGAGATGCACGTGAAATTCCTCTTACCACACCACTAGACCTACCTCATGCTCTTTTCAGCCATGCATGTGTAGTCCTACCAGTTTAGCACGTCAAATATGTTAAAGTTCGGCTTGAAGGCTATTTGAGACCTAGTTAACACTTTCGTTGAGCGAGAATTGTACCAATGTTGTGTGACACTGAGTTCCCCCTTTATGATCTACCTGATGGCTATGTGAGGACCAGGAGATTACTCTATATGTTAATGGGAATTTTACTTATGTTATGTGACATCGGGTTCCCTCAGTTAATTAGTGTATGATGGCTATGTGAGAACAAATACTAGTCAGATTTGCATTCAGGTAATGCACAGGAGTATCAGTTTCACATTTAGATAATAAGTAGCTATTATAGTCATTAGGGTTAAAGATCTGTTAGAGGCGTACTTATGGAAAGGCCCTTAGTAGAGGATTAAGGGAAGTGTTAGACCCCTACTTTAGTGATAAAACAGTAAAACCTCAAGTAGGTAGCACTTGATCTAGATCATGCATATACCTACTTCTTGGTACTATATCTTTAGCATGTTTGTGTTTATGAAACTTTTAATGTGCTCTAGATTAGTAATTACACTTGGGCTTTGTAAGCTCATCCTTTGAATGTTTTTCATTTGTAGGTTTTTAGCTTGAGCTATTCGTGGAGCACCGTCATGACAGGATTTTCAGCATCTGCTTTAGAGTATTGTAGTGCAGCTTTAGTGGCCATGTGTATTCATAAAACCTTACTTATGTATTTAGCTATAAACCTCAAGATGTGTTATTTTATTTTAAATTATATGTCAAAGCTCTGGTTTTGTAAAATATTTTTATACAGTTATGTTTGTTTATTTGTGATACCATGAGTATGTTTTTAAAAGAAAACAAACAGGTTTTGAAAATTAAGGGTTACCTCGATAGCCCAATATTGCACTTTAGGCCAAATCAAGTTTAGGGTGTTACGTTTAGTGGTATCATAGCATCAGGTTGAGTCGGTCCTAGGACCTAGTGGTCGATTTTAGTAAGGTGACAGTGAATACATGCCCTTAGGTACTTAAAGTACTTGTGTAAGTCTGGAATCCTAAGGGGTTTTTTAACCTGTGTTGTAGAAAATGTAATGGTTAATAGTTCTGTGTGTAGTGTCGATGATCGAATAGAGATCCAAGCCTTTCATCTTGACAACGTCAGTGAGGAGTTCCTACCTAGGGCAGAGGATTAAGAGATCCTGTTAGGTACAGGAGTCGTAGAGGTGACCTTTTTTAGAGGTTTGACCTCCACTCTCAATGAGATAGTGGACGTCATTCCTAGAGCACAAACCGCTGAACCAGTCAGCCAAAATATGTTAATACCGACAGATACCCTAGTAGAGAGACTGAAGAGGTACAAGATAGTTGGCTTCTTCGGTTCAGGCAACGATGACCCTATTTTGGCTAATCAGTAGTTGATAGAGACCATGAGGACTTTGAGATAGCTTTGCCTTACCCAGAGGGTAAGTTAGAGTGTATCACCGCATTTCTCAAAGGGTGATGTTATAGACTGGTGGGAGACTTTAGAGATAGCTCTACATCCAAAGGTGCCTGCATGGGATCAGTTCTTGAGTGAGTCTAGAGGTAAGTGTATCAACAAGGCATACACAGATGGGTTAAGAATGCAATTCTCTTAGCTAGTTTAAGGAGATCACTCGGTGTAAGTATGAGAGAGATTTTTTACGGTTGAGTCG